AAGGTATGGGGAGAACTTTCTCATACTAGCTGTCACTTTTTAAAAACAACTCAGCCATGCGGGGCTAATTTGGTTTTGCCTACACACACACGGCCGCATCATTCATTCACAGTATTCTGTGCATGAATGCACAACAAGTCCTTAGCAGCTGTCGGCTTGTAATTCTCAATGAACTACCATGGCGCTGTGGAGCGGTATGTAGTTCATTGAATCTTCCTGTCAGTATATCCGCTTGCCCATACATCCAGTAGAGACAGGCAGATATACTGGCAGGCATGCAGGGGTCCTGCATGGCACCAGCGATCTGTTAATCGCTGGTACAATGCTTTACAGGCTCCTGCAACTAAAAATAATAAATGCACATTTTTTACCTGTCAAAAATACAAATGTCTTCACATGAGTAATCTGTGGCAACTGGACCTACAGGGACATCATAAAATATAATTCACAAAAATAGTTTTTTTATTATATATATATATATATAGTTGTATCCTTTCCTTTCTGTTCATGACAGATGATGGCAGTCTTATCTGATACTTGGGTCACCTATTGCAATTTGGTTTGCCTATAGATATTCAACTGAATTTAATGCTACAATACTAATCAAACCGCAAGAAAAAGTACCTAAAATCACTTTGTTCACAAATAGCTATGTCTTGTTCTACTTTCATTTTTTTCAGGTAAGAATGACTCTGCTGAGTTGAAAAAGCTTATTTGTCTGGGCTTTGACAAGTATGCTGGTAAATTTTGCATCATGTTCTCACTCAATATCATGACAGCCTGGCCTGATTTTTAAATGAAGCTGTGGTGGTTTTGCATATGTTTTCTTTCTCTATTATGGCCAAGTCAGAAAAGTAAACATTTTGAAAATATGTTATTTATTAGCTAACGATGACATATTGCATCTGAATATTTGTATTTTTATTATCCAGTCCACAGGTGAACTTTGTTGCAATGTACTTTATCTCAAGTTTTCTGGTTTCTTTATCTGCTTAGTTGAAACACGATTGTTTATGGAGTGCAGAAGCTCAAGCAAAACTTTACACACACGCACACACGCACACACACCAGTAACTTCTCTTTCCTACCTCTTAGAGAGTGAGAGAGGAAAACAAGCAGTTTTTGCTGTCTTTTGTCATAGGTGTAGTCTTATTTGAACAAAAAAGTGGCAACCACCACAACCTATGCTAGCCTTTTTCAGCAAGGTGCACATGGAAGGGCAACACACATAACAAACAAAAAGAAAAAAGATTTCCCAGCACACTTACCAGCTAGTCTGCAAAACAACCACATTGACCCTGTCTAACAAATCATATTAAAAATGGAGGGTTTTGTTCGCACACATTTGCAAATATAAACAGTCACAGTGCCCATGTCAAGGCTCCTCTGTATATACTGTGATCCTAACTCTGTAAGTTTCCAAGTTTCACAAGTTGGAGCACATATAGCAATGGATAGACTAAAGTGGCTGTAAAGGCTCAAGGTTTTTTACCTTCATCCATTCTATGCATGAAGGTAAAAAACCTGTGTGCAGCACCCCCCAGCACCAGTAATACTTACCTGATTCCCATTGCGATCCTAGTGATGTGCACGAGAGCCTCGGCTCTCTAGGGACTTTTCCTCCTCATTGGCTGAGACAGCCGTTGGCTCCAACTGCTGTCAATCACAGCCAATGAACTAATGAGGAAAGAGATGGTGGCGGGACCAAGCTGCGGCTTTGTGCGTGAATGGAGCGGGCCTGCTTGGGTGCCCCTATAGCAAGCTGTGTGCTCTAAATGATCATTGGTAAAAAGATATGTAGAAATATAATACAGTTAAAAAATAAAGTTAAAAAAAGTACAATATACTGTAGGTGCATGTCTTAGTCAGGATTGTTGTTACTTTATGCCTATTTCAATACTAATAAAATCTCTTCTGAATTAAAACAAATATACATTTTAAAACAATTAAACCTGAATTCCCAGCAGATAAAAGGCACAATTGAATGCAACTTTATTATAATTCATTAATGTTTAAATGTATTTTTTTTTTAATTTGACCTGGTATCAGCCTCAAACTCTGTCTTTGTACAGCAGAGCTCAGAGTGGGGGAGATGGAAGTAGCACAAGGTGCCAATCGGATGAGTGGCAGTGCAAGAAGCCTGCTTATAGGAGGAAAGTGCAGATTGACAGTCTAATGCTTCTCCTCTCACTATCTGGTCACAACGTGAGGAGGGAAGGAGACCTGTATATGCAAGTAAAATTGCAGCAGAGAAAGATCAGGTCTTATTCCCTCATTACTGGATGGATAGAATTTCAAGATAAACACAGCTTCAGTTGGTTAGTGTGAAGTGAACCCCAATACCTTGATCAGCTGTAAGTCAACATCACAGATATAGAATATATTTATATGTTCTATGTGTGTATACTGTATATACACTCACCGACCACTTTATTTGGTACATTTTGTTAATACCGGGTTGGCCCACCTTTTGCCTTCAGAACTGCCGTAATTCTTCATGGCACAGATTCAAGGTGTTGATAACAAGGTGTTGGAAACATTCCTCAGATTCCACAACTTTGGTCCATACTGACATAATAGCATCACGCAGTTGCTGCAGATTTGTCAGCTGCACATTTATCATCCATGATGCGAATCTCCCGTTCCACCACATCCCAGAGGTGCTCTATCGGATCGAGATCTGGTGGCTGTGGAGGCCATTGGAGTAAAGTGAACTCATTGTCATGTTCAAGAAACCAGTTTGAGATGATTTGAGCTGTGTGACAAGGTGCATCATCCTGCTGGAAGTAGCCATCAGAAGATGAGTACACTGTAATCATAAAGGGATGGATGTGGTCAGCAACAATACTCAGGTAGGCCATGGCATTTAAATGATGCTTAATTGTTACTAAGGGGTCCAAAGTGTGCCAAGAAAATATCCCCCACACCATTACACTACCACCAGCCTGAAACATTGACACATGTCAGGATGGATCCATGCTTTCATGCTGTTTATACAGAAACAATTGAGTACTGTCCTTGATAATTTTTTTATTTGCACTAACATACAATTTTGAGGACAAGCTTTCGGGGAGTGTCCCCTTCTTCAAGGTCCAAGCAGTACTGTTACAAAGTTTTAGCAGAATGTTAGAAGATATGTGGGGATTGAGAAAAAAAAAAAGGCAGAAAGAAACACAAGCCTAAGGTTAGCCTAGAGATAAGAACTGCAAAGCAAAAGCAAAGACTGGGAGGGGGGAACAGCACTCACAGAGGGAGTCATAAATATGTTGGATAATGAGTGAGGAATCCCATGTCCAAATTAAGGCTGTTATCTCTTGTGTCAAATAGAATTATCATTCTTAGTTCAAATGTTTTTCTTTCTTGAATGGATTTGAAATTTCCAGAGGCAAAGTTTCACACTGGATTACTGTGCAGATCGAGGAAACACACAAAGAACACTAAGATTCAAGGAAGAATACCAATGTGTAGCGCCCTCTAGTGTAGATAGTTTTTTGTGTATAGTTAGAGGCTTGCTTGATACCAGGAAGTGAGTCAGTGTGTGTGTGTTAATTAGAGAGGTTATTGAAGGTCAGGACTGGAGGGCTCTACAGACCAGTCCTCTGTTAGCTCCCCCTGCTCTAGAAACTTGGAGAAGTTTCTAGAAGCCAACAGGAGGAGGTCTGCATATTTATGAGAGTCTGACCAATCCCAGGCAGGAGGCTTTGCAGTGTGGGAGATCAGCCCATAAATATGACAGAGCCTGGCAAGCAAGAAGAGTAGGGTGGTAGATGGATTGAGGAAGGTGTATGTTGGTGTGGAGCCTGGGAGGGGGCTCCGGAGAAGGGGGGGTCTACCTACAGGCTGGGGGCTTGAAAGAGGGACCTCCACTGTTCTACAGTCTGCCTTGGAAGGACAGCCTGTCAGCAGGGGAAGAAGTCAGACCAGCATAAGACCTGTAAGCAGTTTCACCCTTAAAGCTACAGGAACAGGACAGTAGGAGGTCTGATGAAAAGGCAGGTTGCCTAGAAACGCGTCACCGCCCCCTTGGAGGATTCCCAGCAACGTTCTGATGTCATTTCCTGCCCGGTGGCCATCTTGGATGTGCCTCAAGCTGGCTATTGTACCCACGCTGATGTGAGAGATCAGCAGTGCCTGCCCTGGATCCCGGTTCTTATCTGCGCCGCGACTCCCGGTTACTGCGCCTGCCGTCCTCGCCTCCTCCTGTGGGACCCGCCTAGAGCGCCAGCCACGCAACACCTTGGCATTACAGCCATCCATTTGTGAGGTGCAGCACAGATGACATCCTCCTCCTTATATATTGATGCCTGATATCTACCCACGTCTTGTGAGTTTTTTATAATCTTGTGTGCAATAAACTTTTATATTCATACTGCACTTAGTCTGGCGCACTTCTCTTTCTTCTCCATTTACCACAGAGTCCGGTTTACTCTAGAAAGTGCAAGCCTCACGACGGTGTCTACATTGCAGCGTTGTATATATATGTATGCACAGATATATACCATCTATCTCAATCCAGTACTGTTTGCATCACAAGGCCTTTTTTCCCCTCCTTTCCCTACCCCCCTCCCCTCCCCCCTTCCCTTTCCTCACCACTAAAGCTGCATCATCTACTTGTTGCCCCTTTATTACTGGCATGTATGATTATATATCTTAATTTCTGTTTACTGGATTAATTTATTTAAGGTTTGCTGAGTGAACGTTATGTCCACTACAAATTCTCTTGCGCCAATTGCATTTTTTTATTTTTGTCTTTTATACAGGACAGTACAAGTGCCTCTACAGGCCCTGGGCCTACAAGGGAGAGGATAGTCAGGTGCCATACCCAACTTGTTCTCCGTGGGAACTTATGTGTCTCGGAATCCCTTGCCCTGGGCTAATTTTCAGGACAGAGGTGGATGCAGAGATTTTCTTCTGGGTGTGAACAGATTCAACTAAGAGGACTGAGTGCTCTTAGTAAGGACTGTGTGCTGATCCTTTAAGAAACAAAGGCCACCTGTCAGTGCCTATCAATGCCAACTGTCAGTGCTCATCAATGCCACCTGCCAGTGCCTATCAGTGCCTCATCAATGCCACATATCAGTACCTACCAGTGCACATCAATACCACATATCAGTGCCCATCTGAGCTGCCTTTCAGTGTCACCCATCAGTGCCAGTCAGTGCCACCTATCAGTGCCAGTCAGTACCGCCTATCAGTGCGCATCAGTGCCCGTCAGTGCTGCCTATCAGTGCCGCCTAACAGTGCCAGTCAGTGATGCCTATCAGTGCCAGTCAGTGCCACCTATCAGTGCCGCCTATCAGTGCCATATATGAGTGCTGCCTTTCAGTGCCCATCAGTGATGCCTGTCAATGCCCATCAGTGCCACATACCAGTGCCTCTTCATCAAAACCACCTATCAGTGCAGCCTCATTAGCGCACATCGGTGAAGGAGAAAAATCACTTATTTACAAAATTTTATAACAAAAACTAAGAAAAAACATTTTTTTTTCAAAATTTTTAGTTGTTTTTGGTTTGTTTAGCAAAAAATAAAAAACCCAGAGGTGATTAAATACCACCAAAAGAAAGCTCTGTCTCAAAAAAATGATAAAAATCTCATATGGGTACAGTGTTGCATGACTGTACAATTGTCATTCAAAGTGTGACAGCACTGAAAGCTGAAAATTAGCCTGGGCAGGAAGGGGGTATAAGTGCCCTGTAGGCAAGTGGTTAAGGACTGCATATCCCAGTGTCCATGGTGGCTGCACAGCAAGTCCTTTTTCCCACTAATTGGCTCAGAGCTGCTGTTGCCAGGAGGGAGGGGGAGCAGGAGCAAGGGAAATGAAGCAGACAGACACACATAACCCACAGCTACTCCGAGAAGGAGAAGAACGGGCACAGAGTGCTCAGCCCACTCCTTCTGCTGGCTATATAGTGGCGGGGGGGGGGAGGCAAAGGGCAACACACAGCCAGTGGAGTACCCAGCTACACCACCTACAGATAACTGGATGTCCAAACCAAAGAAAAATGCATTGAATCCATTTAATGCTATATCAGTACATTTTAACATTAAAGTAAATGTCAGCCCTAACTGAATGATATTTAGTTTGTTGTACTGTGTTTTAAAAATAAATGTCAGTTATTTTTTTAATAAGAATTTGTTGACCTCTTTTTTACACTTTGTTGCACCTATTGTAAGGAAGATCCAGGTAGTCTCAGTCTTAGAAGATGAGTGCGAGCACATGCACATGTGCATATTACAGCGTGTGGTCCTGTGCTTCGGCTGACCACTTGGCGTGCATTAGTGTGCATGCTTGTGTGCATCTTGGTGCATGCTCATGTGTCTCTCCCCTGCATAGAGAGATTGAGGAGTGGCCCTTAGCTACCTCCTGTTAACCTGTGACATGACATGCTGCTCTGCCTTGCTGTGTATGACCCGGCTTGTCTTGTCACCTTCTCCTGGACCTTTGCTTACCTGTTATGACCTCGGCCTGCCTAGTTAACTTTGATTATTGACTCCTGCCTTTAAACCTCTCCAGCCTGGCTGTTACCAACCTTGGCTTAACGACTTCCATACCGGGCACTTTTACCCCCTTCCTACCCAGACCAATTTTTAGGTTTCAGCGCTCTCACACTTTGAATGACAATTGCGCGGTCACACAACACTGTACCCAAACTAATATTTTATCATTTTCTTCACACAACTAGAGCTTTCTTTTGGTGGTATTTAATCACCACTGGGGTTTTTATTTTTTGATAAAATTAACAAAAAAAGACCAAAAAAATTTGAAAAGAAACCTCACAATTTTTCTTTGTTTCTGTTATAAAGTTTTGCAAATAAATAATTGTTCTTCATAAAAATTTTATGTATTATGCTACATTTCTTTGGTGAAAATAACCCAAATTAGTATTATTATTTAGTCTGTAGGAAAGTTATATAGTTCACAAACTATGGGATATATTTCTAAAAAGGTCCAAGAATGTTAGAACGGTACAGATATCCCCCAAATTACCCCTTTTTGCAAAGTAGACAGTCCAACGTATTTCATAAGAGGCATGGTGAGTTTTTTGAAGTTGTAATTTTTTTGTCATAATTTTTTGGAAAATGAAGAAATTAAAAAAGAAGTTAAAAGTTATTTATTTTTTATATACCGTCACCAGTGCAGTACAGCGTCATCATATAACTGGCATGGTGGTGATCAAGGACACTTACTGGTGACAGTACGAAAAAAAAAAAATTGATAATTTTTTTTCAATTTTTGAAAAAATGTTTTATTCTCTTTTTTACCGAGGTACACAGCTGGTGACAGATCTTGCCACAGCGCGGCCCTGCCAGCATGCGCAATGCGCATTCCGGAAAGGACACCATGTGGCGTCCACCCGGAGGGACAAGCTGTTCGTCCGGCCACCATCTGGCTATAGGCCAGGCAGCAACTGGTTATACTCTTGACTCAGATCCTATCTTCTAAATGTTTACTTCTGTTGACCACCTGTTTCCACCCTCATCTTGTATCCTGTCCACATTCATGATGCTTGCTCTGGTACCCTGGTGTTCGTGCGTCCTGTCCGGTGGTCTACACTCGCTTGCTCCACACGCCTGCAAGCCTTGACACATCCAGTACTGGCTGAAATTAATGTCATACATACCATTAGATGGTGTTGCATTCCCTCTTGCCATTTACAAGTTGCCAGCCTTGACACATCCAGTACTGTCTGAAATTAAGGTCATACATACCATTAGATGGTCTTGCATTTCCTCTTGCCATTTACAAGGATGACAGACCATGGTGAAAAGGAAGCCTACTTGTCAACTCCACCAGGTACATGTCAGCAAGATCTCCTGCAATCACTTTCTGTCTATATGCATGTACTCCAACAATGTCTCTTTTTCATTTCTCAGGGCAGGTTTCCTGATGGTGACAAAAGTGGGACATACTTACGTAATGTGCATCAAAACAGCCAATTGCAATCTCCATTAGCATGTGACAGGATGACAAAACAGGAGTGCACATAAAAAAATGAGTGCGCTGTACACTAAAAAATCTTAAACAATAATAAATCAAATAAATACTGCTACATAAAAATGTGCATAAATTAATTGAAATGATATAAGTCTACATTCATATATTAAATAATTAAATGTCTCAAAATCCAATAGCACAGTGTTGTGTGCTAAAGAAATCCTCCAACAGAAAGTGCATAGGTGTCCACAAATGCTTGACACAAAAGAAAAAAAATCAGCCTCTTACCAGACACTTTGATCTCCAATCAAGAGATCAAACGAGCGGATGGTGTTCAGATCCCACACTGACACCCTAGTTAGCCGTATCAAGGAGATGAATAGGAAATGAAGGGACAACTGCAGGTTCACTTGAACAAATCCATCACATCCGACAGCTCTCCACTTCATGCAAAGAAAGGTTTAAAACAGAAGAAGAAAACTTCATAGTGTGACCCGATAAACCAGCAAAGAATTTATTAAAGTATTGAACTTACATAGATAAGGTGCATAAAGACAGTGTAAACATTTAAAATTCCTGTGGTGTCAAACCGAGGTGACGTCACAGAAAGCTCCACCCAGGAGTACAGTTGCTAAACAGGGACAGCGCATACTTACCTGATAATAGGAAGTGCCTGAACAAAGAGCTTCATGGCAGGGTCACCAGGCATTATTTTATTGAAAGCTGTAGATTTAAAAAAATATTGACAATGCTTTTTTTAATAACAATACCATGTTACAGTTTATATGAGACTTTTGTGATTGGGTTTACATATATAAATTGGGTTTACAGTTGGGTATAATCTGCACACGTCTGAAATGTCTGGGACAATGGCCTTGTTTCTCTGTTTTTTTTACTTTGAGTCATCCAGTTCTTGCATGAGCACCAGGAGCTAGAAGTATTCTCTGACACTTCACTAGCTGACAGGACAGGTGAGAGGTTATAGAGCTGCAATGAAGGTATATACTTCTCAAATGGCATGGATCCAGGATGGAAGACGTCTGCCATTCTACTTGAGAATGCTGATTATTTGTTCTGCAAAAGTGTATTGAAGCCTTGTTAAAAAAATATTAGCATGATCTAATGACATAAAATGGTATATTAAAACGCGGCAATGTCTAAAACATCAGGTGCTATTACAATAAAACTACAAATAACACAGTTAAGGTTTTTGATTTCCTTTTAACGAACAAAGCCTAAAAATAACATGAGAGGGGCCAGCAGGTTAGTCCTGGTTTCCATGCAGTGCCGTTTGATGTACCACTTAAGACAGGCTGATGTGCGGCACACAGTTCCACACATCACAGGCATTCTCTGGTTGATAAGCTCCTCTCACAGCACTGTTTTACTGGAGAGGAAAGGAAGAGGCATTGTTTTGCCTGGGATTAATGTTGGTATTGGAGTAATTGGAACAAGTGAAGACATGATGTGTATCCTCACCACTGCTCTGCTGAGAAGCCTCCGTCATTACACCTGGTTAGACCAGGTTCTTGCAACCTGTGTGGCCTCGGCTGCAAAAAAAATCTATGATTCATCTGCCATCCTGTTTAGAGAAAAAAATCTAAAGTGAGCTGTTCATGCCTGCTCGGTTTGATGGCAATCACACCACTCTTCCTCATGTGGGCCATGCGCCTAACCTCTACTGAAGCGTTACAGGAAAAAAGAACACGCTTTCATTTCAAACATGCAGTTTAATGCCACCTTTAGAATGCTTCCTCTGATATCACATGCTCGCTATCCCCTATTGAACATAGTAGAGCAGACTTACATCTAAGCAGGCTGGAATGTGCCTTTTAATTCTTAGAGATAACAACCTGAAAAAAGTCGCTTTTTTTATACCAGGGAAATCTGGCTCTTTCACATTTCAAGCACTGGAAAATGTCTAATTTTGTTTTTCATTCAATGCAGGGAAGAGATTTTCTTTGCCGTCTTTTAGTGTGTTATTTTGATTGACTTTCCATGAAATTAATGTGGGTGGGGAAACCTGAACTGGAGGGCTTTGTATTGCAAGCAGCAGAGCTAAATATGTGTCACATTAGCGGTAGCAGAAAGGGACTTTTTTTTTTTTGCAATTTGTTTTGGACCATACCACCGCTCATAATATAAATTCTTACAGTGCTTAAATTGCCAATACAATTTTTTTTGAATGTCATCATAATTCCTTCCAATATATTGGTTGTTGCCAGCTATTTGTGTGTTCACATAGGAGGCCACTGTATAGGGTACACATTGTTGGATCTCATTATAATACATACATATGGCATTAGGTGCTTCTAGCAAGCTTTCTATTTGGAGGTGGCGTCTCATCTGAGAAGCTACAAGACCAGGGGAATAAAGATGGCTTGTAAAGTCCCACTAAACCAATGCCTACCCCCCATCCTTAAC